TATTTAATCTAGTTCTGTCAATATTACGCCTGTTGATATTAACTCTATGGCTGATTATATTATTTTAGAATCTTTCAGTTTGTGAAGTTCAGTGATCAGATTGGGATTCAATAGATGAGGTTTTTTTGATTACATTGTTTATATAATATAATTGAATTTTTTTATTGTAAAATATTAAAATTTAAAATAAACTTATAAGACACATCATATGTTAGAAGAATTATTTATTATTAACAATGATATAATTTATACATAAATATTTAGGTAAGTGGGTAACTGAATGAAGAAAATAAAATGTTCTTAAGAAAAGAAGTGGAAAAATGAGTGAAATAAGTCTACATATAGGTAATTACTTTTTATTTCAGCATGTAAACTTGCTCTACTAGCTGTTATTATTGTTTATTTTATTTAATTATTGTATTACTCTGACTAATCGTATTTAACTAGTTTATATCAATTTTTATATGAATTCTAAATTAATATATTAATAATCTATTACTAAAGAATTATTTATTATTATGAGAATAATTCTAAATTATATATTATATGAAATAGCATTTCTTATATTTTCAAAATTTATTTTTAAATAATTAAATATAATATTTAAAAATTAAATATTAAAAATTATTCGAAGTTTTACTATTTAAATTATTATTTTACTTTATATATAGCAATTTTTTAATAGATATATGAAAAGTTTACTATTAAAACTCATGTTCAATTTACTATATCTTGTAACCTAATTTTAATAGTAAATAATCCATATAATAATTATAAATTTAAAAATGTATATTTTTTATACTTAAATTTTAAAAATTATATTTAAAGAAAATATAGAAAATACCTAAGATTTTTAATTTCATTTCTATTATTATAATCTTTGCAAATTTTAAAATACTTATACTTAATTTTATGAATTTTACAATTTTCTTGATTTTTTTATTAAAAGTATAAATATTTACTGTATATATTTTTATTAATTTTTTAGATTTAAAATAAATTATTTTTAACAAAATTAAATAAGTTAGACTTTATAAAATCTATCATATGTAAATATTTAAAATATTAATTTTTAATATTAAATAGGTTTAATAATTATTTAAAATTATAATATAAGTAACTACCTGTAAATATTTAAAATAAAGTCTATATAAGTAATATTAATAAGATAGTAAAATTATAATTATTAAAAAATAATAATAAGAAACTTTTAATAAAAATTAATAAATTATAAATAATAATATTTGCATAATATTTATATAATTATATATAAAAATTAATATATGAAAGATTTACTAGAAAAATGGGGCTATAAAACTAAAAATCTTTTTTTGAAAAAATTAAAAATTAAAAAACAAAAAGTTTAGCTTTAAAATTGAGACAATTTATTTTAAGTCAGATAATCTATATTATAATATAAATTAGTAATTAAAATCTTTTTAAGATATCATTTATTAACCAATTTCTAAATAATATATTAAGCATATTTATCATTTCCAAATCTATTTTTAAATTATTAAATAAAATAGTAAAAAACTTTCACTTATAATATTATATTTTGAAAATAAGTTGATGTATTATAAAATTTTAACCAATTAAAGCTTATAAGTTATAAATTAATATATATCAAAAATTATAATTTTAAAAAAATGTTTTCAAAATCTTATTTTCCTAGTAAATTTCCTATATATAGTATTTGTTTTTAATTTTAAATAACAGATAGTATTACATATTATACTAATTATATTATTAAGTAATTTTTATATGTAATTTTTTATTTATTGATTAAAAGCTAATTTATTTAAAAAACAGATAAATTTTCTTTTATATTTATACAAAAAAAATAACAAATAATATTTTTGAATATATTTTAATTTTGTATTAAAAGTTATATATTTTTTATTATTATAAAATTGATAAATCTTTTAAACTTATATATATTAGAATTATATAATTTTTTTTAAAATTATTATAACATATTTATTAATGAGTTTACTTAAATTTTATAAATAATATTAATATTTAATTATTTAATATTAAATATTTTTAAATATTTTTACTATAATATAATAAATTTTAATTGTCATATAAAAAATGTAATTCTAATAATTTTATGACTAAAATTTTTTTTTATTGCATTTTAATCTAATATTATCAAAAAATTTAATGTAAAAAAATTAAAATTTTATTAAAAAATTCTTAGAACTACATTTTTTTAGCAAATTTCTCATATAATTATGTAAAAATAAGTTATTTAACATTCTTTTTCCTTTAATAATGATATAATATATATCAACTCTTATTTCAGATATTAAAGTTTTAAGAATCTAAATTATCTTATATAAATAAGTTTATTGTTAATTTGTTTTTAGGAAAATAAAATAAAAATAAGCAAAGAATTTTCAAATAGAATTTACTTTTAATCTAAAATTTTAAGGTTTAAAAAATTATAAAGATAAATTAATATTTGTATCTTTTTTAAAAAAAAAAAATATTAAAATAAATTTCTTTATTAGGATTTACCTTTGATTTATTTAATTCAAAATCAGATTATTCTATAAAAATAAGTTTAATATTAATTTTTTTTATAAAATATTAAATAATTAAATATATTATATTATTCTACTCCATTAAATAAAGATGATCTTATAATTATTTTCAAATTTCAATTGAGTTGCAACTTAATTGTGCCATAAGGAAATTTAATTATGACACAAGTTTCAACTCAATTACGCTATTTTTTTTAATTATGATGCCAATTTTACCATTTTCTAAATAAAGATTCTAAGATTCTAAGATTGTAAATTTTAAGATTAGTAAGTAAAATTAGTATCATTATACAAAGTAAGTTATTTATTAAAAATAAAATAATTGACAAATGATTTATATCTAACAATTAACCTATCACTTAATATATTTCTAAAAAAAAATAAAGTAAAAGTTATTATAAAGTATTTAAAATACAAATAATTTAAAAAGTCTAGTTACCTTCATTCAAGTTAAAGAGTAGTAAGAATGTTTTAATAAAATTTTTTAGTTTTTATCAGATTTATCAAATATCTGATATATTTCTAATAATATAAATTATAATTTTATAAAGAATGGATTTATCACTTAGGATAATTTAGATTATTTTAGAATTATCACTTCTATGGTTTACTTTCAAATTTTAAAGGAATTTTACATTTTTTAAGTAATATCAAAAAAATAATTTACATTAATTAGTAATTTTTGCATTAATTTAAGATCAAAGTTTTGAATATTTAATAATATAAGTATTTTCTTTATAAAAGCTAAATTTTATAATTTAAAAAATCAATATGAATTTTATTTAGAAAATCATGACTAAATTTGAATGAAAATTATTACCATTTAAGAAATAATGGCTCATTGTTAAATTGGTACAGATCTGCTAGATAAATTCCCACCATTAGAAGTAAAAAATTTTTTTTTCGTCTTTGCAACCGCAAATTTTGGGAATAAAGAAATGACTCGCAAGAGATTGCATTAATTCTTTACTGCTTCGGCAGTAGGTGGATTTAAATTTTTGGCTTTATTGAGAAAACATTTTTATAATATTAAAAGGCCTCTATGCTTCGTATTTATATCTTTATATTTTTGTATTCTACTTCCTGTTATAGTTTTACTTGACCTTTGTTGATATTTGTAATATTATATGTTTGGCTACTCGATATTTGTATTTTACTTGGTATCCCTTTTATAATTTCATTTTCATAACATATTTCAAGTTTATATTGTAAGGATTTGATGAGACGGAACTTTTTGGTCCGACTTGCAAGTCTTTGCGCGTTCAAGAAAAGGAGAAGAGACGACCTTCGAAACGGAGGGTTCACGCCGTAATGTAGCCGTAGTAGTCGCACTTGGGAAGACATGGCTTTAATTCTTATGAATTTAGGTTATGATAGAAAGTCGGGGTTTATAAGGAGGCATGAGTACTGGGTGGTAACGTTTCTGAGAAATTGGGAAGCTATAGATGAATGGTTATGGCTGTGAACTTCATTCATTTCCTGCACATTGTTATTTATTCCTTTTATTTCTTGACTTTCGATGTCGTCGTTTGTATTTCCCAAAAATCACATTAATTGCTAATTGGATATTTAATTGGGTTCGCAATTATTCGTTATATTGCTTAGCCGCATATCCACAGCATACAATTATTCTTAAATTAAATAAATATTGATATAATTTTTCCGTTTAGGATTTTATGAAAAATTTAAAAAAATAAATCGAGTAAATTATTAGTTTGGCAAGATGTTTTATTAATAAATAGTACAAATTAACATTTTTTATAATCCCGATTGAGTTTATTTTTTGATCTTTGATTTCTTTTCACCAACACTACACAGAAAAAAGCTAATATTATGCATTAAGAATTATAATAAGTATACTACGCTAATCCTGAAGCGTAGCGTATCATTATTAGTGTATTTTACTAACATTATTGACTTCGAAAAAAAAATAATAGATCGGAGATCATCTTTAGTTTTTTGTATAGATTATCCCAACGAAGAAACCATCGCACGCTGTATGATAGTTGCGCGATGAATCGATCTTTGGTTTTTTTTTCGAGTCGCCGGTCGCGTATTTAGAAATACAAAGGTGTACTTATGCCAAACAATTCAATAACATCGATGTTTGAATTTACACTGGCATGATTTGTGATTCTGATCCATCGATGGACCATTTTTAAATACTTTATAGAATCGAGAATAAAAAAACATTTCAAGAATCGTCTCAGGAAGAACAAATGGAATAAATTTAATTAATATAAATTTCTAAGTAATTTTCAATAAATATTTTAGTTAAATGTAATTAAACTTTTCAGTATCGTATCGAGTGCATTATTTGATTATCGAAATGTGATCGACTCTTATTTTAGCGACACGTCAAAATTCAATCACATTCAATTTTTATCTACTTTAATATTTCAACTTCTCAATTCTATTTCTTTGTATATAATCAACGTTTTTATTGAAAATATGGTCAAAAGATCTGCAAGTCAAATTCTCGAGAGCCCTATCAACAAGGAAGTCAGGTTATCTGACGTTAATGTTTGGGGATATTTGATATCCTCGCGTGGTTTTATTACTCTAGATAAAAGTTTTTATATGTTGGGTAACCATGAGGGATTAGAAGAAAATGTAATTATTATGGGTTCATTTTATTTTTAATTGCTTTATTTTGATAATAAAAAAATATATAATAAATCGAATTTACAATATCTACAACAGTACATACATTTAGAAGGATGTGGAGAGATATTCTTTGCAGGAATACACTACGTGAGTTATTACAACTTAAAATCGTAATTCGCTATTGCCTTATTCATTTATATTTTTTTTTAATTTCAGGATGAAAGTAATGGAGCCATCATTGAAAATTTATGGTTTGTAAATTTTAAACATCATGATTAATTCGTATTTATTTACAGTTTATATAAATTCAAACATTCAGCCAAGACGGAATGCAAAGAAAAATAAAGAAGTGGGATTATGTAGCACTTAAAGAGAGTTTTATATTACAAGATGGAACGATCTTAAAATTTAAACGTCATCAAGATTTTGAAATATGTAAGTGGCAATTTTATAATTCATTTTGTAGTATTAATTCCTACATACATTTTTATCATATGAATTTCGCACCGCAAATTTATCAAAGTGCGGTTGTGATAAAATAACAGTAAGTTGTGCTTTTACTTTAAATTCAGGATATAAATCTTTAGAAATGGACTACTTTATCATTTCTTAATTCCAAAATAAAAAATTTTGTTAAACTTCCATTTGTTCTTCGAACTCACAAATTGATTTACTTTTATTTTAGATTTTCGATGAAGATACTCAAGGTACAAACCAAATTAATTATATGAATTTTCTTGCAGGAATTATTAATATCAATTTTTGTATATAATTAGGTGGTTCTGCTGGTAGTTTATGTGAAGTGAAAAATAAATGTTTCCTACATAAATATGAGTTCGTAAAAAGACTTGGAGGGTATATATTATGCAATATATCATATGTTCTCTTGATTTTTAAATCGCTGAATTATCTTATTATTATTAGTGGTGGTTTTGGGAATGTCCATCTTGCTAGGAATATTTATGATGGACAACTAATTTCGAAATCATCATTACGAATGGTGTATAATGCAATGAAAGAATTGCAAGACTTGGTCGGTTAATCTATATTTTATATCTTAGATTATAGAATTTATACTATTATTTTATTTTGTTATTGTAGGCCTGTGTCGTTAAAGCACGTGAAGGATTTCACGATAATCAATTAAAGAATTATTATTTGATAATGGATTGGTATGATGTTAATTGTATATAGCATGATTTAAATTAATGTACTAATGTCATCTTTATTTTTATTTCCATAGGGTCGAACACAATTCATTATCGACATGGATCCAGAAGAAAGGCCATGTTAATAGTGAGGCTATTAGGAGCATTATCAAATGTCTGGTACCTAATCTGAAGGTTAAAATATTTATATTAATTGAATAAATTTTTAACAATTTTATGTTATTTATATTAATTTTATTTCATATTTATAGTTAATCCATGAAAGAGGATGGCTTCATAGCCAGAAAATGTACTTGTAAATAACGAAAATCCTCTTTCATTATTATTTACAGATTTTGGGTTAAGTAGCAAATTAAGCTCGAATCCAAGTGATGCGAGAGGTACACCACTGTTATGTAAGTGAATTCTTTAAAGCAATCTTTTTGTAATTGTTTTTAATGGTCTAATATTCATTTTACTTAAAGGTGCACCTGAGGTATTGTTGAAGAGCCTCCAAAACGAATCTACAGATTGGTGGTCATTAGGACACCTAATATTTAATTGTTACAAGGGAGGTTATTTATTGCAACCTATAAAGGCAGGTGTTAAAGAATTATTGGCAGAGATTGATCACAAGTTGCTAATAATCAAGGAAGGGAAGGAACCCGTGATCAATAGGATGATAAAAGAGGGCATGTAGATGGTATGGTAATTAATTATATTTAAATTCAATATTTATATTAATCACTGTATTATAATTTACATTTCATATTTTAGTTGCAGAATTCATAGACGCGTGCCTTAAATTGGATATGAAGGAACGAACATACAACAAAATTATAGTAAATAAATTATTTATTATTTCCAAAATATATTATCCGTAAGACACTAACACTTTTCTTTATATTTAGAAATGTAGAATATTTAATGAAAAAATGTAGGAATTCTACTAAATTTGGGAGAGAATTATTTAAATTTACTTCCACCCGCATACGATTTCTTCAATTTGTCAATAACGATAATATCAAAATATTTTTTGATTAATAATGAAGAATAAATCTCAATTTTTCAATTTATCTATTTGAAATTATAAAAAAAAAATGAAGCGCTGATATTATTTTGAATTTTTTGTAATTATACAATTTTACGATACAATCAAAATCCTTTGAAATATATTTTGTTATTATTGTATCGCTAATTATAAGTTATTGTGCTTTGCGTTGATTATTTATCAACGCAAAGCACAATAACTTTATTATCGTGTGATTTTATGATGTTGACTTAAACATCTAATAATATTTGAAGCAGGTATGTTAATATTTCATTTATT